TCCTGCCTCTGGTCCCCAGACCTTATGGTAACTGCGCTGCCTAGAACAACCCCTGTCTGGGGCAGGGAGCTGCCTTTAAAACCCGCTCCTCCATCTCTCCCCTCCTCAGACACCTTGTTCCTAAAGATCTTGAGGGACAACCTGAAATGGCTACAGGGCTGAGAAACTCGGGCAGGGCAGAGGAAGCCCTAATCAAGGGGCTCCAAATCCGAAGCCCATCAGCCACTTTAGGGTGAACTCCTCATTGCTGCGATGTGCAGGGAAGCGAGGGCTGAGAGAGGCTCTAGAGATGAACAGGAGCAGCAGAGCCGCAGCGGGGCCGGCTCGGGAGCCCCTGGGTGCTCAGCACTGCTCTGGCGCTGCCCTGGGCCGCTGGCATCGCTGCCCGTCACTCTGCCCATCTACAGGAGCTGGAGGAGGGAGCAGCTCCTGTGCATCCATCCTTTGCATGTGGCCATGGACCTGATTCTGCTCCAGGCCCCTTTGCCCGCCTTGCTCTGGGGCAGGACAGGGAAGGAGACTCGGTGCGGATGCGCCAAGTTCACGCTTTGCCCTTGTGGGGATCCCTGCAGCCCTCCCCGTACCTGCACGGTCAGGAGGAAGAGGAGGGAGGCAGCCAAGGTGCTGAAGACCGTGTTGAGAAGGGCCACCTGGTAGAAGTTGGTGAAGCCCTTGCGGTTGTTGAGGTACTTGAGCCACTGCTGGTCGGCGAGGGTGGCCTGGCTGAGGTGCACCACCACGGTGCACGTGGTGAGCAGGATGAAGACCCACTGGCCATAGTTGCCCCACAGGGTGAAGTAGGCCCTGCCCTCCTTCTTGATGGCCAGCGACTCAGACACCACGAAGTAGACCACGAACATCATGAGGAAGACCTGGGGGAGGAGGAAGGTTTGCCAGGGAAGGACAGGGCAGCACTTGATGGGGCTCCCCCGGTGGAGCCCACAGCACCCCAGGACGCAAAGCCCCATGTCCCAGGTCTGCTGCCCTTCAGCCAGAGCCCTCGGTCCCGACTGCCTCCAGGCCTTCCTGCAATGCCCCCTACTCCATCCTGCCCAGCAAGGAAGCTCCCTGTCCTGGCGCCAGGGTGGGAAGGGCAGGACGTTGCCTACACCCAGCCTAGAGCCTGTCACGGTCACACTGACCTACAGCCAGAAACAACAGGTCCCAACAGCTCCCTGCGCAGGGAGCGAGGAAGAGGAGGAGCGGGGGAGGCTCTGCACTGACCATCATGAGGAGCTGCAGGGTGACGCCCCCGCTGAGCCGCAGCAGCGGGAAGGGGCTGATGGTGACGGCAGCCACGGCCTGGCCGGCGCCCGGGAACTCGAGGCGCAGGGTGATGGCCGCGTGCAGGTCCACGCTGGGGTTGTACTGCATCAGCTCCACGAAGACCGCCCGGCTCCTGCGCGCGGGAGACAAGGGGCTCAGGGCCCTGCGGTGACACCGGCCCCGCGACTGGGCGCTGCTGTCCTGCAGGATCGCAGGTCCTCTCCCCACGATGACACCAGCAGCGCCCGTCCAAGAGCAGCTCCTCGGCCCCGGCCGCACTCACATGTTGTCGATCCAGGTGTGCTGCTGCAGGAAGCTCAGCTGAGCCCTGCTTTCCTCCAGGGACGCCCCAAGCTCCTGGACGTAGCCACCGCTATCGTAGAAAGAGATGTAACCCCAGTACCAGACTCTGCAGAAGAGGAGCCAGGAAAGAAAGGAGCCTCTGTAACATCCGCCCTGCTTCACCCCGACACCCTCCCTGCCCGCCCTGAGCTGTGCTCAGGGTTCCCAACCTCAGAACAGCCCCTGTGGTGCCCAGACTATGGCAAACAAGCACCCAGGAATAAATCAGAGCAGAAAGGAATGCACTTTGTCAGTTGCTGCCGAAAACCTGATAAAGCTCAAGAGCTGCTTTGACAGCAAGCCGAGCTGGTGCCGCCCCTCGGGCTCCGCAGGGTGGCTCAGCTACCTCCTCCCGCTGCCGGTTTCTTGCAGGGCTGCACGGCTGCCCCCCGGCCCCAGGAGCAGCCCCACGCTGCTGTGCAGCCCCCAGGGACACGCGCAGCCCTGGAGGAGTCGGAGGGAGAGGAACCAACGGGACCCAGGCCCTGCCACAGCCGGCACAGGGGGACGCGCTCCAGGAAAGCCCTGGGCAGCTCTGCATTTACTGACTGTGCCGGGCTGGGGGTGCCCTTAGCATCACCGAGGGGACAGCTGGGAACCACCCAGGCCACCACGTCCTGGGAAAGGCCGCAGGGCCCCTGGCACCGGAGCGGGAGGCGCCATCCTTACCCGGTGAGGTCGGGGGGCGAGTAGGA